ATATTCATAATTTCTTGTGCAAAAGACATTTTCTTTTGTTCTTCACGTTCTATCATGTGTATTTTTATGTTGTTTTTTAATCAAAAAGTGAATATTATATATAACTAAAAAATAATATGTAAAAGTTAATTATTTTTATTTTTATTATTACATAGAATTTTTTAGATGTATTATATTCACGTGCATTAGAAAAATTATTATTTAATCACATATTTATGTCATGAGTGATTAACAAAAACATAAAAATACTTATTTGATGATAACAACAATTGAAGAAAGTCTTTTTTTCTCTCTCTCTCTCTCGCGAAGGCAACAAAAAACCCCTTTCTTCTCCGTTCAATTTCTCGCCGTTTTGAGCCTCTTTCAGTGATCGTCCGGGCTCGCCGGTGGACGGCTCTCCCGCAGCGCATCCGATTTAGGGGCTGAGGTGCTCTTATCTGGTGTCTCAAGCCAACGGGGCGGGCTAGGGTTTTTCCTCTCGGTGCGATGGAGCCGGCTGTCCTGCAGGTTTGGGGTTTGGGGGTGCGCCATCAGTTCTTGGATGTGGCTTGGTTGCTCAATTCAACAACCCAGGTAGGGGCAATTGTTTTCTCGCCGGGCCTTGAGGTCGCCGGTCTCTTTTGTAATGTTCCCGCCGGTTTTGGCGCTGTGGGGCGGAGGGGGCGGGGTTTGACCTTATGTGCTGGGTTGGGAGGAGATTGTTGCTTATTCGGTTTGTTTTTGCAAGGCGGGGCCTGTTGGGTTCGTTAGTACCGTACGGGCTGTACGCAGCGGAATTTAAAATTTTTTAAGTAAGTATTTATCGTATAAATGCAACACCCGTACATACTAATTGCGAATTAACAGATCGTCATCTTTAAAATATGCATCATATACAAATTTTGATTTGTTATAATAAAGTAAATACTAATACGAAATATTTACCGAGTGTCTTGAACTCCTTCAACAAAGATGTGAATTGTGGGAATCGGTTCCCGGTTGTAACTTCAACGGCTTGAGGTTACTCGCTTTAGGAATCCAAATGTCTTCCCTCTAATCGTATCCACCCTATGAAGCCCGGTTCCGACGACCTTTCTTCGCTAGTAGAAATGTCTCGGTTTTCTTGTATAGGAATATATATATATAGATATAATTTGGGAATTATCAAGAACACTTTCTTGAAATATATGAAGAACACTTTCTTCTCTCTTTGATTTTCTCACAAAAATCACTTCACATCTTTACAAACATTTTGCATCTATTTATACTAAACATTTTAGCATAAAATAATCAATATTTAGTAATATTTAAATAAAAACAAATTTTATTTAAATAGTATTTACTAACCATTGACTTTGAAAATAATAAGATATGTTAAGTAGTTCAAACAACCATTAACAACCATTTTATTATAATCATATTTCTTATTTTAATCCTTAAATCATATTTAAAGATATAAATAATAATTGGATAATAAATCTTGAGAATCTTTCTCAAGACTTTATTGTTATATCATTTTCTCAATCTTATAATAATCATATTATTATTATTTTGGATTTGAAATTTAAAATCCTATTTTAAAATTCAACTTTATTAATTTAGTAATTACTTTAATTACTAAAGTAATATCCAAAATGTAATTAATCAATCTTATTGATTAATATATTCCTTTAATTGATATCTAATCAAATTAGATATTTATCAATTAATTCTAACCATTAGAAATACAATCTTTACCTTTGTTCATAATTAGTGTGACCTTTTAGGTTCACCTTAATACTAGTAGTGGGTTTACAACACTTTGTAATTTGAGTTAAATCTTATTAACTCTTATTCATGAATTAACCCTTTAATTTATGAACCCACATATCATGGTAACACCTAGCAAGTAGCATGAATCTAGTATTAAGTGAATAGCGAGTAAACCTATTCCGATTACAACTCCATACATGTAAAATCCTTTCGACATCTAATTTCCCGATTAAGTCTTGGGTATGATTTTGTCGAAACCCAAATTGACTTAATAACTATGATTCTATTTCATGTTTATTAACCCGGTTATGAATCACTATTCATCTCTGCCTTGGCCAAGGACTTTGGATTAATAACTATGAAACACATAGGAAATTCACTTATCTTCATAAGTGTCGAATCCTTTATTGGCCACTAACAAACTTCCATACATATTAACATAATACCCAACTTATCCCTTTAAACGATAGTGCTAGCTACCAAAAGGATAAATCAAAGTAGAATGTAATATGCACAAAGTTACCATTGTGCCTCAAGTCTTAGGATTAGTCATGTACTATTGTAACATGAAAATTCTTATTCGACTGAATAAATTCTTCATTAAGAATTTTCATACGGTCATGTTCAGTGAACTTGTTCTCTAACAAGCACCCACATAAATGTACTTACGTCTTACGCTAATGTTGATGGAATGCAACATTCTTGTCCAACAAGCATACAAACTATGTGCAAGTCTTTTATGGATTATTCGATATCCCATCTCGAAACATCCATCGACTTGGAACTGTATTTAAGATCACGGCTTTCAAGGTATGTTCCATGATCACCATCTCTATGCGCAACCATACCTTATAACCATAAGTGATCTAGGGATTTTATCTTAAGTGCAATTATAAGATAAATGCTTTCTCTTAAGATAAAGAAATGCCTTATTCATAATATAATTCCAATAGACTGTATTTACAAGTAGAATACGTCCAATTAGATTGGAACGCCGGGTACCCTACTCTAACAATCTCCCACTTGCCCTAGTTCCAATCACTCATGTATCTAAGACCCATCTTCTCAAGATGTCCTTCGAACACTTTCTGTGATAAGGGTTTAGTTAAGGGGTCTGCTATATTTTCTGCTGAGTCGACTCGCTCCATCACGACATCGCCTCTACCAATGATTTCTCTAATCAAATGGTATCGCCTCATAATGTGTTTGGATTTTTGATGAGATCTTGGCTCCTTTGCTTGCGCAATAGCCCCATTGTTATCACAATAAATCATTATTGGATCAACAACGGATGGTACTACACCCAACCCTTGGATAAAGTTCCTTATCCAAACAGCTTCTTTTGCAGCATCAGATGCAGCAATATATTCAGCCTCTGTCGTAGAGTCAGCAATTGTTTCTTGTTTGGAACTTTTCCAACTAACTGCTGCTCCATTCAGAGTAAATAAGTATCCAGACATGGATTTATAGTCGTCTTTATCGGACTGAAAACCAGAATCAGTAAAGCCTTCTAGTTTCAGTTCTCCATTGCCGTATACCATAAAGATATCCTTAGTCCTTCGTAAGTACTTAAGAATCATCTTAACGGCTTTCCAGTGTTCTTCACCTGGATTAGACTGATATCTGCTCGTTACACTAAGTGCATGAGCCACATCAGGTCTTGTACATAACATTGCATACATAATGCTACCAATAGCTGATGCATAAGGTATATGACTCATCCGTTCTCTTTCTTCAGGTGTCTTTGGAGACATCGTCTTAGAAAGAGAAATCCCATGACTCATTGGAATATATCCTCGTTTGGATTCTTCCATGCTAAACCGTTGTAGCACCTTATTTATGTACGTCGACTGGGATAGTCCGATCATCCGTTTAAATCTATCCCTATAGATTTTTATCCCTAGGATAAAGGATGCTTCTCCCAAGTCTTTCATGGAAAACTGTTTTGACAACCATGTCCTAGTTGACTGCAACATCCCTACATCATTCCCAATGAGTAGGATGTCATCAACATATAGAACAACAAATGTAACTGCACTCCCACTAACCTTCTTATAAACACATGGTTCATCCGGATTCTTATGAAAATCAAACGTTTTGATCGTTTCATCAAACCGAATATTCCAACTCCTCGAAGCTTGTTTAAGTCCATAAATAGACCTTTGAAGTTTACAAACCATTTGTTCACTCCCATTGGATATGAAACCTTGCGGTTGTTTCATATAAATGTCTTCCTTAATATTTCCATTAAGAAAAGCAGTTTTCACATCCATTTGCCATATCTCGTAGTCATAATACGCAGCTATGGCTAGCAATATCCGAATAGATTTAAGCATTGCTACTGGTGAAAAAGTTTCCTCATAATCAACACCTTGTTTTTGAGTATAACCTTTAGCAACCAGTCTTGCTTTAAAAGTATTTACTTCTCCATCTACACCACGTTTTCGCTTGTAAACCC